TGGACAGAGGCCATTTCTTCTATATTCACCAAGGTAATTCTAACATGAAACTTTGTTACAAAAACAGAATTTTGTTGAAATATTGGAAATAACAGAGGCGTAATACCACCAACAAAAGAGAGAATAAAAGAACATAAACTGATATTTTTCTGTTGTTCACTCTTGCAGCAGGGAATTTTCACTGTCCTGTTCATGGCGCTAGGGTGCTTTGGGCAAATCCTTCCTTCTTCCATCTCCTTTTCAAGTCTCCCAATGTTTTACTTATGCAGCCAGAAAACAACTCCATAATTCCAATTATTTTACTATACAAAGCAGTTTGGCTCTTACTTTGTGTTATGTTCTTTCATCATTTAGAAGCCTCCTTTAAATTATTGTTTAGTTTAATTACTTTGTGTGTAATGTTCTATGATTTCTCTCTCTCTGTCTCTCTCTGTCTCTCTCTCTCTCTCTTTTTCACACACACATGGACACTATCGTAATCAGGATACAGAACAGTTCCATCATCCCCCAAAACTGTTTTCGTCTCTCCTTTTCTAGAAATACCCTCCCCCACTCCTAAGCCCTTACAACCACTGATCTGTTCTCCATTACTGTCGATTTTCGAGAATGCCCTATAAAAAAAAAATCATAGATTATGCAAACTTTTGAGGCTGTTTTCTCTTACTCAGTATAATGCCTTGAATTTCATCCAAGTTGTTGCACATGTCAATAGTTCAAGTCTTTTTATTGCTGAATAATATTCCATTGTATGGAGGTACTACAGTTTATTTATCAGTTCATGTCCTGGACCACATCTGAGTTGTTTCCTGTTTAGGTGATTATAAATAGAGTTGCTAGGAAATTTTATGTAGATGTTTTTGTATAAAGATGTTTTTATTTCTCAAGGTAAATATCCAGTAATGAGACTGGTGGGTCTTGTGGTAAGTGCATGTTTAGCTTACAAACAAAACAAAAACAAATATAACCTGCCAAACTATTTTCCAGAGTGGCTGTATTACTTCTGCCTTTCTACCAGCAGTACATGACGGTTTTAGTTGCTCTGCATCCTCAGCAACACTTAGTACTTTCGGATTATTTTAGCCATTCTAATAGGTGTGTAGTGGTATATCATCATGCTTTTAATTTGTATTTACCTAATAGCTAATGATATTGAACATTTTTTCATGTGCTATTACCCATCTTCATATCCTCTTCAATGAAGTATCTGTTCAAATTATTTGCCCATTTTAAAATTAGGTTATTTGCTTTTGTAATAAGTTTTGAGAGTTCTATATAGGTTAAAATTTGTCCAATCTACATTTTCTGAAAATTAACCTCCAATGAACAGTTATTCTGATATTTTCTCTTATGATTATTTTCTTTTCCCTTTAAATTTCAGGCTAAACAGAAATGTACTTCCTACTTGCCAAGCCTAAAACCTGTACCTATTTTCTTCATCTTGATGCCTTTACTTGTTCTACATCTATCATTTTTCTTCAGTTTCCTCTCTCTTTTTTGGTATTTTCAAAACCTCCTTTTGCATGATCCATTCTTTCTCTTAATGTTAAAGTCTCTATATCTAATTTTAAAACAGAAAATAATCTATGACTTCTGACTAAATGACTGCCTCCCTGTTTTCCATCACTGCTATGCTTCTTGAAAACAAGACTCTGTATTTGCTGCCTTCTTCTGCTTAATTTATGCAAATTTATGCAAGCCAGACTCTGCTTTCATAATCATTCTGAAAACAATCTTAGAACAATCACCAATGACCAGCAGCTTCCTCTACTGGTGGACTCTTAGTGTTCATTTTATTTACCTTTCTGAAACACACGACATTTATCTCCACCACTTCTCTCTAGATAATGAAAATATCATAAAGAAATCAATGGTAGTCACAGAGAAAGGGTCAAGTAAGTAAATATTTTTTGGAAGCAGAATCTTTATTGCTTTCTGAAAAAAAAAGAAGTTTTATAGGGAAATCTGTGTGGATAAAGTGTACAGAGATGCTGAGGATTTAGCACCACATATAATTTAACTGGGTATATTGTATGTAAAAGGCATTCATATTCATAGTTTGAATTCACTTGTTTTATCATATGGAAGTTATCTGAATTCAGTTTACTAATGTAATATTACAGTGTTTTATTTTCTGATTTGTAAAGTGGAGATAAAAATAGTAGTCAATCCAAAGAAGTTCTGTAAATATTATGTGAGATGATGAATGGAAAGTATTTAGTAGAGTACTTGAAACATAGAAAGTAATTAATGGGCAAACTAATAAATTTTTTTCTTTTCCCATATTTCTGTAATTAATTTCAAAATAAATTTTAAACACAAAACAATTCATTCACCATGAATTTTCATTTAGTATTAACAATAGCAACCTATAAAATAAATTCATAGAGCTTTGGACATTGTGTCTTGCTTTGTTTTGTTTTTGTATGAATGTCTAGATACAGAGCAGATGATGTATGTGCCTTTTACCTAATTTGGGTAAGTAAGTAATCTCTTTATCTCTGCAGAGCCTCTACACAAGATTTGGAGACTTTAACCAAATCAATGGGAATTCTACCCTATGATTGTACTAGTACTGATATACAAATTAAGCAGTTCAGTCATGACTCTGAGTGCTAACTAACAGAAAAATAATACAAAATGCTCTGTTTAATTATATTTTCTTCCATAAAATCCAGTTATTTGTAACAAACTATTACACAAGTTTGTCATATATAGTTCAGTTCCTAAGATCTGCTGGTTGCCTTTTTCCCATATAATTCTCTACAAAACACTTCATTAATGTCTTAAGACACTATTGATTTATTTTCCATAAGACAAGATATACGAAATGACTTTCATTTTGCCTATTTTCTTTCATAGACTCTCTTGCCTAAATAATTCAGTTGAGAGTCTATTGTATAAACCATGTTTGTTTTTATTTTTATTGTTGAGTATCCATCTATGCTCTTATAATTCCAGTTTGTTTGTTTTTTTTTAAAGAAGTAAGGCCTAGTAATCAAATTTAACAAAAATAGCTCTTTTTTGGACCATCTCTTTTGGCAATAGCAAAGAAGTAAATCATTTGAAAGGAATCCATTAGAATCATTATACCTAGGAAATAACATGTTTATGGTTAATTATAATAATGTCTCTTGGTGATATTTTAATTTTATACTTGAACACACAGTAGAAAATTGCTCAATGTTCTTACTTCTCTTTATCCACTGAAGATGGAACAGTTATTTCAAACTAACTTTTGTGTGCATGTGTAGTATGTGTGTATATGGGGTGTGTACAATATTTTTTCTTCCTAAAATTGTTATCTGGCATATATTTATTTTAAAATTGTTTTTAATAAGTTTGATTTGTTTTAAAAGGCACACGAGAATCCTTATAATGTAGGGTGTCACCTCTAACTGATATTAAAATATTCAAGTTTGAATTTAACTAGTGTTGATGTTGGTTTCAAAATTTGCACAATGGAACATAATTTGTTGTTTCAATCTAAATGTATTTGTTATTTAGCGAATTGTATGCATATTTATAAAACATTAAAACAATACAGGGTGGATGAAGCCAATGGATTTCATTATCAACCCACTGGAGGTAACAGAACATGTCTTTATCTACATCAATACGTTAAAGTTGAAAAAAAAATGCATTTTTTCTTACAATTTATCAATTCCCTTAGATAAAGGAGACTCAAGTGAGTAACACTAATTTTAACTGGGAGCAAGGTATTTCATCTAGAGAGGGGGAATCTCAGTCAAGCCTCCTGTGTACTCTACCTCCTCTTTCTCAAAATTTAATGAGTATACGAATCCCCTGGTGTGTTGGTCGATTCAGGCTGCTATAACAAAACTACCACAGACTGGGTGGCTTAAACAACACACACTTATTCCTCAGAGTTCTAGAGGCTGGGAAGTCCAAGATAAAGGCAGAATGGGTGTTTGTTGACCACTTTCCGGCTCATTGCCCTCTGGCTTCTAGTGTCTTCACGCACAAGGGGTGAGAGAGCTTTCTGCTTTTTGCAAGGACATTAGTCCCATTCACAGGGTTCCAGTCTCATGACCTAAATCCCTCCCAAAGGCCCTACTTCCAAACACCATAATATTGGGGGTTAGAATGCCAACAAATGGATTTTGGAAAGACACAAACATTTGGTCCATAACACCTAGGGGATCTTGTTAAATGCCAGATTGTGAGTCAACATATTTGAGGTGGGGCCTGAGAATCCTGAATTTATAACAGGCCCCTAGGTAATACTGATACTGCTGGTCCTAGAAGCACCCTGCATAGCGAAACAGTCTACAACTTTTCCCCTGCATCCTGCTAGATTGGGTCCTGTTAAAAAACAAAAATGATTAAAGAAGACAATGTAGATGATACAAACAAGCCTTATTTAAAATTTCATGAAGTAAACAGTATTTATTCAGATAAGTGAAAAATGGGACAGAAGGCAGGGAGCTTTTATAGGATAAAGAATAAAAAACAAAGAAGAGATAAATACGAAATATCTGATTGGCTAGGGCCACACAGTCCACCTTGTTTGGGGTGAGAAGAAATGAGGAAATAAGTATAGAGCCCAGAGCTGGCTTGTGGTTTGGGAACTGGCTGCCTGAATATATTGCACGTGTTGTCAAGCAGAGCATTTACAGGAACACAAAAGTCATCTACGTTGGGTTTGCTGGCATGGCACCCCAGGCAGGAATGACTCCATCTTGGGCCTAGAAAGTTATTTCAACAGTACTGTTGACTAGTCTCTAATATTCTCTACTTTCTTATGTACAGTTGAGTCCATCTGATAATAAGCAGCATATTCTATTACTGATAACGTTTGTTTTTTCTTTTCCCTTTTGCTGTCTAGAATTTGTAATTTTTTTGCTTTGGCTTTGACTATTGATATAAACACTAGGGCCGGAAGAGGTGTAAAGAGCCAGTCCTACCTTTGTGCCAGGATGCCAGCAATGCCCAGGTTCATTTGGATAGAACTTTCCTAGTTTATTATGGGTAGGTGCTACCTGTCAAAGGGCCTCTTTGAGTCGGACTTAGAAGTGTTCAGTGCTATTCCAACATTAGTGTTGGGCAGATTCTGGCATCTCTGGAACTCCAATGGTCATGATTACCAGTGGAGGAAGAATATAGAATCCTGCTGAAGATGGATAAAAGGTATTTTAGCATGGGTGGTTTTGATTGTTCAAAGGTGTATAGCAATTCTTAATTATTTTAGCAAAATATTTTGTTAGCTTTGAACAGTTTACTGATTCAACAAACATCCTAATATCATTTCTTGTCCTGTAAGGATTCTTAGATAGTGCCCAACTAAGCCTAGGATAGATGCTTAATTCTTTCAACAACAATTCGACCTGAATTTCCTTGTTACTTTGTTTAAGTGGAGAAAAGAAACATACAGAGGAAACATGGAAATATAGTCTACATAAAGTGAGGGAAGTGCCTTTCCTGACCTTTAATAAAAGATAAAAAGCAAGGAATTTTGAAAGCTACTAATGTGATCGCTATGTTTAAGGGATTTCTTATATTTCTGTTGCCATTCCATTTGCTTTGTTTTCACAGAATGGCTTGTTATTTGTGGGCAATTGTCTGGAAACAACAGGAAATTATTTTTAAATTGTAGACATCGATAGGCTTTTGAAATAGTCACTGGTTTGTGTAAATATATATTTAAAAACAAAATTATATTGAAAAGGAGCCAAACTCAAAGAGTTTGAATCATCTGAGCATTTTAGATAGGACTATTCAGAGGTTCTTGTACTTGTAAACACAAATTAGTTTAATAGACTTTGGTTTGCATGAGATTACTGCATAAATTACTCCTTAGTAGGACTCAGAAAAAGTTACTGCTCCATCCTTCCCTACAGGAATATTTTGAAGAAAAACTAATAGTACCTTCCAAATACCACAAAGCTACAGGAACATCACAATGTCATCTATCATCTATGGCAACCGTATCCCAATGTGCTTTGGATGCTAAACTCATTTTTGGTTAGAAGAGAATGCAAGAGGCATCCTCCTTGGAATGCTTTGTTAAAATGCTTTGTGACGGACAGTGTATTTGCCTCCCACACAGCCCTAGTTCTTGGGCCTTTGTGTTTCAAAGATGAGCAAATAGCAAAGCAAAAAAAAAAAGGGGGGGGGGATGGACATATGTTGTAAACCACTAAGTTAACCAAGATTACGTACTTTAAATACACCAGTAACTATCACTGTCATATCTAAAATAATTACTATCATTTCTAAAAAGAAATGACATGTTAATACAAAAATGTAAGTAGGAAAAATCTCTAATAAAATACAGTACTGATGATCAACTAGCACAGTCTCTCTCATCTATCTCATTTTCAGACCATGTAAATGTGTTTTTTCTCTTTGCCTGCTTTATTTCTTTGTTTGTTCTTTTGTTTTTCAAGTGGAATATAACTAACTACAAGCTGGTGAAAACTTCATTTCAAATTATATTTTGGAGATAACATATTGAGAATGTTTTTCTTGTTAAAGTGTCCAAAGGGCTAAGATTGTTGATTCATCTTAAAATGACAGACCATGGAAATTTAGTGAACTAGAATTTAGCAAATTTTGTTGTACAGTTTGTGCTTCAATGAGGAAAGAAGTAAAAGATATTTATTCTTTTTTTAAATGGGTCTCTTTATAACTGCTCTAAATTAATTTAAAAAAAATAAAATTTTACCATAAATAAGATGTACACACAAAGATAAACCAACACCTTCCAAGTAGCCTTACAGCTAATCTTGTTAGTGAAACCACGAGTCACGCTTACTTGGAGGATGATGGCATTTCTCTAGTTAACCATGTACCTCAATTGCACTATGAAATATTAATGTTAAATCATGTTCTCAAATTGCTGAGATACATGTTTCTTCCTAAAATTTCTTCTTCTGCAGAGGATACAGACACACTTTCAAGAGGGAATAGAAATTAAGCCATTGAAAATTTTTCACTGATAAATGTATTTTATGTATATTTAATTAGTCATCATCATTTTTAGAGATATCTGAAGCAATAATTATGTAATAATGTTTGGTTCATATAACAATGGATCTCTTGAGAGCTCATAAAATATGATGCAATTTAAAGTATATTAAATATATTCATCTTCCTGAAATAGGAAAACAGTGCAAAATCCAAGCTAAAGCAAAGGGCAGTTCAAGAAATTAGTCTTTAGAACAAAATTTGACTTTATGTGCTCATTTTGAAAAATGACTAGAAGTAAAACTTGGGAAAGAAAGATAATGCCATTCTCTTATAGCATAATTATTCTATATTAGGGGAAAGAAATAAAATAATATTAAAATATTTTAAATATATTATGATATTTGAAGCATTCATTACAGGACTGATAACCCATTTGGTTCCATTTCATAAAACTTATAAAATCAGTACATTATTGAATAAAAATGAGGTGGTGTGATAACTATTATTTGGCTGAATTATGCATTTAGTGCAGTACTGGGCACTTGTTAGGTATTTAGTAAATATATGCTTAATAAATGAATAAGTATAAAGGCAGCTGAGTTCTTGAGTTTCTCACTTCTCATACAGTATTTCTGTGTCTGTGTTATATTATGTAAATAACAAGATTTAAAGTTGATTTTCAAAATTTAAAGACTTGAGATGAGCATAAACACACCTACTCATAAGAAAAAATAACTATGTGCTTTTAAAATGTGGAGTTGACAAAGTAAGGAAGTAATTTCTTTCTGTTACCAAAGACTTACATTTAGGGAACTTTCAGTCCATGATGTACTTCACGTGGTAGGAGGTTTTATGTCTATGTTCAGTAAGCTCTGTAAGAAAATATATACATTGCAAAATTGAAAATTCACAATTTGTTTTAGAAAACATGGCCACATGATAATCTTCCCATCAAATGGAGACAAAGAAAGCAAACTGCTGCATGGGGGTGGGGGGGGGGAAGAAATCTTCTTCTCTTGAGTATCCGTGAATGATTGCCAAAAGATATGTTAATTGTTACAAGTATGTATATACTAATCCCCAGGATATATAGGTTGGTTTGCTAAAACAGGAATAATATAAATCATCTTATTAAGCATAGCTTTTGAATGCAAAGTAGGGTATTCTTTTCCATAAGAAAACATCAATAATTTTATCCTAGGCAGGAGTTACGTTTCCAGAGCAGCTTTGCTACAGAAATGTATCTTGCAGACAATTCTACATAGAACAGGAAGGCAACTTGTCTCAGTGCAGTGATGTGGACAGATATGCATTTTGGTGCACAGCCTACTAATTCATAGGAATGTATATTGAAGCACTCAAACTCTCATTAGAAGGTGGTGAGCTAGAAAGATAGAGATCACTGTTGCAGAATTTGTCTATATGGCACAGAGGCATACTGTAATATATGTCAATGATAATAATAGATTTTATATCAGATAATATTTTATTTCAAGATCATTGTTTACTTTCATTTTTTAAAATTTTAAGTGGGCATATATCTACTGCCAAATATCATGTATTACTACTCTAATGGGTGTTTTATAAAATATTTTGCTCATGATTACCTGCAGCAATCAAGTAAGCAAAGTGCCTCTGCAGGTAATTCTAGAGTTACTATGTGCTCACTAATTTTGTTTTCAGTTAGATCTGGGGTCAGTAAACTTTTTCTGTAAAGGACCAGATAAGAAATATTTTAAGTTTTGCTGGCCTAGAGTCAAAATTGAGGTTATTATCAAGGCACTTATGTAACAAGAGAAAAACCCATTTTTGCTAGTTTTTTATAGATTAAATTCAAAATACAATAATAATCTAGTACAATTATAGAGTAACATTTCATTTAATTGGAGTTCAAAGTTAGTCTTCCACATCATAAAAATTGATTGGAAGTATCCATCTGTTAATGCTGATCTGCAATGATATTTTACAGATTTCATCTTTGAAAATGGCTTTTCACCTATAGAGGTACTGCCAAATACTGATATCAGTCCACGAGCATGTGATTTTAATTGCACATACTTATTCCTTAAAAGGCAATTAGAATTATATTGGATTCTTCTCTTGATATTTGTCTTTTATTATGTCATTGCATTGTAAAATCATCATTTCTAATTGCAAGTGTATGTAGCAACTTCTCAATTGGGAAGTTAAGTGGATTTTGAAATAAAGAAATTTCCTTTGTATTTTTATTAAGATGTGAAAAATGTTGAAGGAGACGCAATTTGATTTTAGAAAATATACAAGCTCTCCAGCAGTATAAAAACAGGTAGCAAGCTAGAATTGGCCCATTGGCTATAGTTTGTAGATATCTGTACTAGATGATAATGATTCTGAAAGATATACAGTTCTTAGCACTTAGCACTTAGACTGGGGCCTGGATACATGACTATTAATTAAAATTATATAAACATATATACATGCTATATATATATAGATATAAAATCATATGTATTTATATGTATCGGTACATGTTAATTTTGTTTTTCTTTTGTTCTGTTTTTTTTGTATTTGAGTTCCTGTAAATGTAAATACAAATGGAAATATATACCACAAAACCTCTCTTCTTGGGGATAGGATTACATGCTAGAAATAGTGCACACCAGTTAACTAGCGTCGATTCTTAAAGTTAATGACATTTTTGAGCTAAAGACTAAATTACATATGCTTACAGTTAAATCAATTATACTGGAAAGTTAATAGATATTGAACTTCATCTCTTCCTAATTATCACACTCCATTTCACTGTTATCCATGTTCTTGATATTATTTATATTATATCTTTATGGTGGAAACAAGGGAAGATGTGCAACTGTGAATTTCTTCCCAAGTCTGTTTTCAATGGCTACACACTGTACACATGAAAATTGTCTATGATGGGTATTTATGCATAGCGATAGACAAATGCTACAAATTGGGACTTAATTTGTAGTTTTGCTGTTGTCTAGGCTTAAGAAGTTAATTAAGTAATTGTTAATACTGTAGAGTAAATGTAAATGTGTGTTGGGTCTATAGCCATTACATTGTGGATAATGTTCACAAAAACAAATAATATTTGAAATTTATTATCCAAATCAGCACAGAAGTTGCTCAAGTCGTAGCGTGAAGTTCTGGTGCTATCTCTGTTGCTTCTTTTCTTCTGACTCATTAATGTGCTTG